TTATTGATATTTAAATTCTGTGAAACACTTGCACTGCTATCATGCGTTTCTAGTCAGCGCCAAATTGGAACGCGACGAATGAACGTGGCAGAATGATGTGCAGGTAGTAGAAATGAACTGTTGTCTTGGCGTCATACTCTAATTTTCGCGTTCCCGAATATAAACAGAAATGCATGTGCAGAATTGGAAAGGCTCGGCTGCACCGTCTTCGTTTGTTGTCACATGTGTCACATAAGCATGCACTTGTGACTCAGCAGCGCAGCGTAAACAATCCAGCGCTCACTGCATTCAGTTCAATCTCGAAAATTGAGTAAAACTAATAAACTCGACAAAAGCTGCATATTCTGCCTACAGACTGCCTTCGCCTGATAAACAGCCCACGTGACAGCACTGCCTAACTAGCCAATGGTTGCTTTGTTTGACCTTGAGATAAGAACAAGGCAAAACACCGAATATATATACGACAGGGGTTGAAAAGTTTAAAACAAGTTGATCTTTGTTATTCCTTTTGGTAGATGGCTTCCGTCGTTTTACTAAATGTATCACCGTCCATGTCGAGGTAGAACAAGGAAAATGTTTTCGTGCACTGATGCCCCTCAAGCTATTCATCTGCACGATTGCTCACCATTTCATTGTTCGAGGCATAGCTAATATCACACTTTTCTAGTGAGCGGCCTAATCTGAACTATGGCTTGCATTTCATTGTTATCTGCGAAATGTTTAGTTCAAAATATACTTTCCAAGACCGTTTCAATTTTACTGCAGAGCAACGGACCGCTCTGATAACATAAGGCGTAATAGGTATATAAGAGCTGGCAAAAGTAATTTGGCAACTAGATGGGCCTACTTTCGTGAATACGATCAACTTAAGACTTAAGCAACTGCAATAAGTTGCATTACCTTTACTCTGGCGCATGATCACGATATTCAAAACGAAGCAGCAATTTTGCTTTAAATCCGCATCGTATCATTACTATTGCGCGCAAATCAATGGAAAACATTTTCGTTGATTTTGTTTTCATTTACTGAATCAAGAATGACTCCAAGTTAATAAGGCAAAACGTTGAAAGATGTTTGATATGAAGAATGTGAGTTACATTTCAATTCCTAATACTCGATTCATAAGACACAAGACCCACAACCATTTGGCTCGAGAAGCCAGAGGAGCCATTTGAGCAGATCACAGCTTCACTGTATCTGATCACCATTATATTTGTGCAACGGATGCAAAATGGCATCTGCTGCAGCTGTCCCTGACAGGGCTTACATTTTGTCTGTGTATTTGTTTATGGATAGTGGCAAATTTAGCTGTTGCTTAAACGCGTCATCGTCCAGCCCAATTCAAAGTTACAATCTTGCATACGACGCATTGCAAGCGCTCAAATGCTATTATGCCGTGGATAACTTATTGGTCTTCTTAGGCAAATAGAAACAAAGGGAAATGCGTTTCCACCGTGTAAATCCGGTATTACGAATTGAAATGTAGTATTTACCTGCGAAATGTTTAACCTACCATACATGGTTGCTACCCTAGAACATTATACTCATGTTTTGTCTTTTCTAGTGGCAGCAAATCTTTTAGTTCGGTTGTCTGGAGCAAATATTTTTTGTAAAGAATACGATTAATGATTTAATGTAACATATTCAAATTGCTGGATTATTGCTGCTGACCTAATTATGCTCACTATGATCAATATGGCAAGAAACATCAGCCTAGTCAACTCTGTTGGCGCATCGTTAGATTCGATTAACTTATTTCGTCCCTCTGCCCCTGAGTTAAAAAATAACTATCCCTGCAAATTTTTTATTCGTCGTTGCACTTTATCGTTTGGCCTTGTCGAACCGGAATGGTTTATGTGACCCTTATGAATAAAACAGCAATACAAGACTACTAAACGAAAGTTTCGCACTCATACAGTTCAGTTGCATTTTGAGACGTTACGTTCGTTTGAAAGGTAATCACTCAAAAGCAACCTTAACTTCTTGCACATGACTCGTGATCTGGGGCCAGTAATTCAATATTCTGAAGTAAAGTACACAGAAGATTACTTGAATGATTCTTTTATCGGGGTCAGAACTGCTGCAGCGTGGAGGTAGAGGTAGGGGTCAAATCCTTTGCTCATGCCTGTCTCGCCTATCATCTTAGAAATATTTGAGCATTGGTATGGAAGGAGGCATTGATTCACTGCCAGTTAGAATAACAGTTAATTTCCCTTACGCGTCTCGACATGGTCCGAATTACCGATATCCGGGAGAGCCTTGGTATACAGCCTTTGCTTTTCCAGATTAAGAAGTTACGGCTGTGATGATTTGGACATGTGTTTAGAATGCCTCCAGAAAGGAAGGCTAAGTACCTGTTCCGACCGGCAGAAGGCTCAGGGGACGGCCAAGATTAACCTGGTGCAAACATA